CCAACTCTCTAACCATTAGGCCACGACTACAAATAGGATAACGACAGATGGTTAAAATATGTCTTAACAGGGGTTTTAACAGTCTAGTATTACAGAGGACTTGTGTGAGCTTACTGTATATCACTTATTATATACAAGTTGTGCATAAACAGATTTATTTGTCAATTGCCCACTTCTTATCTTTGATCCTGTCATGACTGATGGATTAAAGGTTATTCTATGAGCCGGTGACGACACCCTGTGGACACACCTTCTGCAAAAACTGCATTGAGAGAAGTCTGGACCATAATCTACGCTGTCCACTTTGTAAACAACCACTGCAGGAGGTACTACTAAAACACAGACTTTTACAATAATTACACGTTTTTAACATTTAGAAGCATGTAGAAACATTTAGCCTCAGAGTAAACAAAAGCCCAGTAGTCTAATCCTTCTAATGCAAGTCAATCACATTGTTTTCATACAAAAAAAAAAAAAAAAAACTGAGCAAATCATGTTGCATAGAAGTCTCACCTCATTACTTCCTATTCCAGTATTTTAAGAACAGGATGTACAACCCCACCGTGCTGCTGCAGGAGATTATGTCCCGCCTCTTCCCCCAGCAGTTGGCTGAGAGGAAACAGGTGCACGAGGCGGAGATGGCAGAGCTCTCTAAGTGAGTGCCCCTCTCAGAGATAACGAAAAACATCGGTCCTGTCTATATATTGCAAGTCATAAGTTACTATCAACTGACATTCCTATGCTGCTGAACTCCAGTATCTGCATTGCTTTTCACAATGAAATGGGATAAAATGAGATGGTTAAAATGTCTAGCAGTCTTAACATTTTATTAGTGGTTTTAGCAGTCCAGAAACTGTTTGATACCGGGAAAAGTTATGCAAAAGCAGAATTATTAATTACCCTCTCTTATCTCTAGTTTGACTAAGGACATCCCAATCTTTGTGTGCACTGTGGCGTACCCTGGCATCCCATGTCCACTGCACATCTTTGAGCCTCGTTACCGTCTGATGATGCGGCGATGTATGGAGACGGGCACCAAAAAGTTTGGCATGTGCAGCTACGAGCACGGCAAAGGGTATACAAATAAAATATCATGCAGCTAGCATCTGTCATTTGAAGGTTATGCTAACTTTTGCACTCTTACAGATTTTAAGAAACTTTGGTAAGTGTTATTAATTAAAATAAATATACACACTAGCTTTCAAAAGTTTGGGGTTAGTAGTGTATATAATATGTGTATATATATGGGAATGCCTTTCAAGTGTTTTGATCCCAGAATTTCCTGTCATAGCTTTGCAGATTATGGCTGCATGTTGAATATTTTGGATCTGGATTTGCTTCCTGATGGTCGCTCCTATGTGGATACAGTGGGAGGAAGTCGCTTCCGAGTGCTCAGGAGAGGACAGAGGGATGGCTATCAAACTGCTGATATTGAGTACCTGGAGGACCATAAGGTCAGAGGTTACAGACTGCCATATCTCAAATTTCAGATCTAAGGCCAAGAAAAATTATATTGGAAAAAGTATTTTCCAAGCAGTATTAAGGCACATAAAGTCAGGCTGCATGGGGAATATTCAAAATCTAAACCGTATAACCAGATTATACAATGGTTCACTGCCTATACTGTAAATAAGATTGTGCTCATGGGGCTTTATTACATAAACATCCGAAATTCAAGAATTCTATCTAATCTGTTTAGTAACCATGATGATTTCAGTTAGTTTGATCAGATCTTAACTTATCTTAAGATGAGCTTACGATAGGAAGTTTCTATAATACAGTCCTTGATTGTAAATGAAATTGCACTTCTCGTCTTAAAGGATACAGTGCCTGTCCTAATGGAGATCTGGCACATGTTTAACTGAGATGTTTCCTGATGGCACACTTCCAATCTATAATTTATCCAATGCATGGCCTGCTATCTGCTGTACATACTTCCTCTAAAATCTCAGTATAGTATTCTTCCAAAGCATGCTGTGGTAGTAGTAAGCTTTTCCTGCCATATTAACTATCAATCACAAATAATTATTTTATAACATAGTATATGATATATTATAAACTATAGTAAACATAACATTTCAGTATTTTATATTAAAACATATGATTTTAGTAAAGAGTTGCTTTGTCCTGTTGTGGAACAAGATTTCATTTTGACTCCTGCAATTAAAGTCTGTGTATATTTTGCATATAGCAATAATAAATATGTGTTCTGAGTTTGTCACAACACAGAAAAATGTGTTATTAACCACCCAGCCAAATTTGAACGAAAAAACAAAAACAAAACGTTGATTAGCCACATAAAACCTAGTATGTTTTTATTTGGGGGGTCATTTGTTTTGTGTGGATATATTCATACATTCATTATATTCATTAAAATAATTCATTTTACCATGGTGAATAAGCCGAGGGTAATGGTTGCTTTATGACCAGTTTGAAAGTTCTGGGCGACTGCCGCTAGGGGGAGAAATGCGACAGTCGTATCCAAATGTCGAAGACAGTGGAAAAGCGGCTTAACTCCACAATTCAGTACTACATAGTTTGCAGTCTTTGTAACGTGTTTTCAGCAATACATTTCTAACATTTACAATGTGTTTAGAAACAATTCTCTGAATGAATTGCCTTTACACAGACTTTAAACGTTTATTAATAAATTCATGAAATGCTTTAGGCAACAGTGTGGCTTTTTTGTGCAGTCTGGCTTTCTGTTACGTTAAAAGGTTTTAATCTTCTAGTCATTTTCCCTATGGTTATGTGTCTTAACTACCTAAATAAGATGTCACGATTGAGCATTCAATGAAAAGCATCTATTAAAGATTCATGAGAGAGAGTTATTACTGCTATCACAAGCCTGAGACTGTGATGGATTGCTTATAATGACATTAAATACAAAACCTTTTGTTAGTACTGCAAATTGAATATCAAGTAAATACTTAATGTTAATTAGTGTTAATTGCATGTGTATTCAGCAGACATTAGGAAGAGGAGCTTGTGATTAACTGCCTGTTAGTCAACAAATTCAAGCTCTTTTCAAACCCATCCATATTATGATTACATTATTTTATCCTCTGGTTGAAGTTGAGTGTGACAGTAAAACTTGTTTGTCCACCTAACATTTGCATGCATTTGGGTTTAGGTTGAAAGTGCCGAGCTTGAATTACTGCAGCGTCTCCATGACAGCGTATATCAGCAGGCGAGGGAGTGGTACCACCGTCTGAACAGCTGCATTCAGGAGCAGATCACCCGGCAGTACGGCATCATGCCCGAGAAAGAGGACGACATTCAGGTCAGAGCCCACCGAATATTGCGTTTATTAACAAAACCACAGATCGCGCATTTTAATAGTAACTTCTTAATGAGAATGAATGTGTTTTTGTGCATTGCAGGCATCTGCTAATGGGCCGGCCTGGTGCTGGTGGCTGCTGTCAGTGCTGCAGTTAGATCCAGCCTATCAGACCACCGTTCTGTCTCTGACATCCCTGAAGGACAGACTGGGTCATCTACGTATCGTACTAGAATACTTCTCTCAGAGATAGGACGGAGACACATTATATGCCAGTATCTCTGATCACATCACATGCATGCACCATGGAAGACATGATTTTTTTTTTTATGTACATTTTAAATTCAACTGCAAGAGATTTGTTTGCTCTTGCCAAAATTTTATACTTTTTTCTGATCATAATCCATACACAAGATCTCTGGATAACACAATGGACAGCTGTGATATGGGTTGGTTAAAAATGACATGACCGGTTCCAGTGGCTGTACAACTATTGAATTAATCTTTACTAATTCTTACTTGAGTCGAGCACCAAAGAGTCAAGGACTCGTTCTACACAGAACAGCTGTTTATTGGTTCACGCTGTTCGCTTCATTAAACATCAGAGTGGATGCCAAATGTTGCATCCTAGTTTTGCTGACATACATTTGAGATGTTTCCAGTAGTACTGGACCCTGGCCAAGATTTTTTTTTAATGTGTAGCTCACATTTGTGGCCGAGAGGGAAACAGTTGGCCCAAGCGATTGATGACTGAATAGGAACTAATTGATTATGCATGAATGAAACGCTTATGACTGCAGCCTCAAAATCCCACAATTCCAGCCGTATCTTTTAGTAGAATCAGAAATAATATTATCCTCAGTAACAGATGAGGAGTTCTATTAATATTGCAATACTAATGGCACAGAATACACTATCTGAATGAAAGCTGCTAGCTGTGCTTGTTCCATTCGTAGTTTAAATGTGTTGCAAGCTTGCTGGCATGACAGTAGAGAGGAGAGAGGAAGCTAAGGTACTCTACCATTCAAAAGTTTGGGGTCAGTAAGATTTTTGAAAAAAATTTATACTTTTATTTAGCAAAGATGCATTGAATTGATTAAGAGTGACAACAAATATTTCAAAAGATTTATATTTTAAACACTGTGCTTTTTAACTTTTTATTCATCAAAGAATACTGAAAAATGTATCTATTTCCACAGTAACATTAAGCAGCACAACTGTTTTCAACATTGATAATACTAAGAAATGTTTCTTGAGCATCAAATCAGCATATTAGAATGATATCTGAAGGATCATGTAACACTGAATACTGGAATATTTCAAATTCACCTTTGGCTTTACAGGAAAAAATTACATTTTAAAATGTATCAAAATATAAAAGATATTTTAAATGTTAACAATATTTTACTGTATTTGTTTTTAATAAAATAAATGCAGCCTTTCAGAAACATAAAAAAAAAAAATCTTAACCCCGAACATATGAATGTTAGTGTACAATCATAATCAAACGGCAGTTATGGGAGGTGTTGTGAAGGTTTTAGCTATCTGGTTGATCATTATAGCTCTCCGAACCTCTGTGTCAGTCATATTGGATTATTTCTGTGTGTTTGTGCCTTGTGATGGGCCTTAATCTGGATTCAGATATTTGGTGGTGATTTGGTCAGATATTTGACTGCGGATTTATGTTCCTTATTTTTCCTGTCTTCTGTTTCAGTGCAGAATGTTAAAACTGCAATGTTAAATGTGATGTAACACTTAAATGGACTTGAAACGGACTTTGTTCCTACTCTAGTGATAGTGCCATTGTTTGTTCTAATCTCATGTGTGTCTAGCTCCTAATGGCTGGAAGTCCAACAAGGGTTAACATGCACCCACCTGCACTGTTAATTTATTTTTAGGTTTTTCATATTTGATCTGTTGTGCACTGCTCAGACATTTAACTGTAATTTTGCCATATTGCAAACCAGTTACTAACAAGTGGGTGATTTGCTTTCAGCCACGTTTTGAATGCAGTATGCCTAAACGATTTAGATTTGTCTTATTTGAAGCAGTGAAAATTTGGGAACTTTTGGAGAAAATATTAGACACAACAAGGTTCATACAAAAACTGAGATTTAAAGAAGCCTCCGTAATGTTCCGCTTCACACTTCTATGGTCAAAGTCATGCTGAGCCACATATTATTTATGATCGCATGACCGCAGTGGAGTGATTCAGAGAGACATATATTTATGAAAGGGATTTAAATCAGAATAGGATTTTATTTGAATTTGCTTTAGTAATTTAAGTACTGATTGATGCATCTGATGTGTTGTTTCATATCTAAGGTGCACTCTTGACGTCTAATACCTTTCATCCTCAGGATACAGGACTTGGAGAAATCACTTACAAGTGCTGTCAGAACTGTTGCTTCATCTGTCTGTAGTTTCTCAGTAACGTGGTTGTGAGCCTGACAATGTCAAATTCTCACCCTTCTGGTTTAATTGTATGTGAAGGTGGCAGATCCTGTGGTGTTGCTTCGGGATAGTAAAAGTGCAATTTAGAGTGACTTTATTCTACACTATAGTCTCATAAAAAAGAAGGATGCTACTATAGCCCTCAAATCAGATGTCTTGTGTAAGTAAAAAGACTTCAGTTAGATTTAATCTACAAATATAGATTAGTCAAATCAGAATCACTAATCAAGATTACATCCTCTATTTTGTAAAGAAATTGTTTGAGAGGCAAATATTTCCATTCAACGGCAAATGATGCTTGCTCATTTATTTCAAATGATCAGTGGAGTCTGATGCAAAGTATTTCTTCTCTTTGTCAATAATTCTTCTTTATGCCATATATTTATGTGTTTGGAGTATTTTAAAATTAGTTTTGCCTGGTGTAATCTCAGGGGCTATATCAGTGATTTTTTCTTTTGAGAGGTTTGTCTTTAACCCTTAAGGAGTTATGAGATACACATTATACAATAAATGTAACATTAAAATCAATCATTCAGCATATCATTGCTTTTCTGTCATTGGAACTGGCAAAAATCAAACTTAACAACAACAAAAACATTAAAATCAACCGTTTATCATATTACCAAGCAACCACTAGATGGCGTCATACAATCACAAAATGTCTGACGTATTAGCGCCTACGAGCATCTTCAATTAATTTGAAAAAGTAAAGATGCTTGTGTGTTATTTATTTGTTTCTCTAAGCAGACTGGTCTAAAGGAGTTACTGGAATAGTTCACTATAAAATTATATATAAAAATATGTCTCTTTTTTATTTTTTTTGTCAATATAGCCTAATAAAGGACAGTGGGGGTCTATATTTTGGACTCCAATGACTTTCACTGAATGGACAAAACATGGTAACACTTTACAATAAGGTCCCATTCATCAACGTTAGTTATACATTAAAGTTATTAATCTTTGTTAACATTAATAAAAATACAAAAGTTATGTTCATTAAATGCTAACAGATACAACTTTATTTTTTTAATAATGTTGAAATTAACATTGATTAGATTAATAAATGCTTTAGAAGTATTTTTCATTGTTAGTTCATGTCAACTAATGTAGTTAACTAATATTAACAAATGGAACCTTGTTAAACATTCTTCAAAATATCTATTATGTTCCAAAAAAAGGAAGTAGCCTAGTTTACAGGTTTGCAATAACATAAGTGTGAGTAAATAATACCAGAATGTTAATTTTTGATTAAACTCTTTTGGGCGAATCTCTTTAAATATAACTAACAATCATAACAATAAAGGGAAAAAAATAAAAATAAAATAAATAAATAAAGTGAGCATCAGGCTGAGATAAACGAAACTAGGTATGGAAATATTTAAACAAATAAAAGTTATGGCATTAGACTATATATTTTTTTCATAATTTTGGAATTAGTTATGACATATTAAATCACTGTCTGCAGCAAGCAAGTAGAAAAGTGCGATCACATTTTACCGTCGCTCGACGATTGTTCAAAATGTCAAAATAGAATAACAGACTGTAGCATTGTTTTTCGGAGAAACAAGTAGCCTATGTGAACTTAGCATGTTTCCTAAAGATCTGCAAACATGAAATTGTATGCTTTAGTACAGTCAAAAAATGACATAGGCCTACAGCACATTTAATCCAGTCGTTACAGGAATTCACGCGATCAGCAATTTCTCGTGTGAGCGAAAGATTTCCCCGCGCAGATTTCGCAACAGGTTGGTCACGCAAATTTGCAGCGAAATTTCGCTATGACTACACCAACAGTAGCCTATGTATACTTCGAAACGTCTAATTGACTTTAAGTGTAAAAAGCATTCCTGCACAGTCACAGAGGTCCTTGTGATGTAGCTCAAAGTGAACATCAAAGCCCATTACAAACACAGGCAGGAGAGCAGTACGGTAAGCTAAACTGATTCATCACCCAGATGCAACTCCCCTGCCTATGGCTTATTTTTGAGTGGGGATGACAACCTTTTTTGTACTTAACAAGTCATTACATGAACCTGCGGCTCGCGCTATGCTGAAATGTGGGTGTGTTTGCGGGTAACCTGTGTGCTGTTGAAATCCACATGATGTGGCAATTAATTTGGGATGAAATCAATGTAATTCTCACACTGCCAGTCAGAGATGGAGGGTGTTGAAGAGATGATGCAGGGCAGCAGGGAAACAAATGCCCCGTGTTGCCATAGAAACCGTCGCCCGATAGCCTAGGTAAGAGGCCGAATAAAACTTTCAAGTAACTAGTTAATTGAAAATAAACTTTTCAAGTGCACGCGCAAACTCTTTTGTTTGTTTACAGTCTGCGAGCCGCAGTGTCAAATGCAAATGCTTCAGAGAGATAAATGGCGAATGTATGAGACGATACCAAATATGTCTGTTTGTCTCCCTCTCTTGGTTCTCTTTGTAGGGATTACGGAGCGTCTAAGGGGTGGCAGAGCTGGGACTGATAAAGAAGCCTTGTTTCACACCAGCCTAACCCCCCTGTGTCAATACACAGATAAAGCTTCAAATGGCGTGTGCAAAAGAGTAAAGGTAAACATATCAGAGCCTTGGTACTTTAAGTCTCACGGTGCGTTTGGTAATAAAACAAACGAAGGCAGCGCGTCTCCTTCTCCGCAGAGGCGGAGATTAGCGGGAGAGACAGCTGGCTTTGTCCCCTCGCTGAGGTGGCAAGAGGAGACGCAGTAATCTAAAGCCCCGCTGTGAAGAGCTAATACAGTTGATAAAACAAAACAAAACAAAGTTATTGAAGAAACATTCATCAAACAGTATAGACAGCTTCAGGGTTTATAACGGGAGTTTTTTTTTTGAGTTCTTAAACTCGCGCTAGACTATGTCAGTGATAATATTCTTTGATAATGTAGGCCCCGATCAGACAGAACGCGTTTTTTTTGCAGTGAGAGGCACCTTTAAAAAAAAAAAAAAAGTTTTTTATTGGCAGTGAGCGAGCGTTTATGCTCCCAGGGCGCTTCGCGTTTCTATAGGAGCACTCTGAGCGCTGGGGATGGACGGATCGATCCAAGTATCGATACTTTCGATACTGATGTTGTATCGAAAGGATCTATCCTCACATAAAAATATCGATTCTAAAGTGCATTTTTAACCATTAATTTTATTTATTTAGCAATAAATTCGGTGCATAAAATAAGCTAATATACACTAATATTGGCACCCTTGGTAAATGTGAGCAAAGGCGGCTGTGAAAATAAATCTGCATCGTTTATCTTTTTGATCTTTCATTCAAAAAATTCATAGAATTCTAACCTTTCATTGAAGTAAAACAATTGAAATTGGGGGAAAACTCACATTATGAAATAAATGTTTTCTCCAATGCATGTTAGCACAACAGGGGACTAGCAGGGGCGCCTCTAGCAATTTGGGCCCTATGAAAGAATATGAGCCCCCTACCGCACCAAACATACACTATATTGCCCAAAGTATTGGGACACCCCCTTTTAATGAACAGGTTTGATTAGTAATTTCCATGAGTACAAATCTTAATGTTTAAGCATAATGCTATTCTAGGGAATTGTGTGCTTCTAATTTTATACCAGTAGTTTGAACAGGACCCTTTTCTATTCTAACACAACAATGCCTCTGTGTATAAGGCAAGGTTAAACATTTTTTTTGATTCAGTCTCACTGATTGATTCAGTCAGTGTGGAAGAACTTGACTGGTCTACATAAAGCCAAGTCCTAATCCCAGCTGAACACCTCTGGTGTGACTTTAAATGCAGAACTTGAGCCAAAAACTCATCACCAAACACCTGTGACTTGTACATACATATGGACAAATG